AATAAGTGCTTCAACATAGTTAACATTGCAGGAAAGCAATATATTAGACGTTAAGTACTTTGTCAGGCTTAATATTCAACCCAGAATCACAGCATTTCGTGTTATAGTCACGACTTGTAGGCCTATACTAAGTATCATACTATCTACACATCATTTCCATTGGTGGTGATGCGTTTCAGCCACCAGATGGTGCAGATGCTTAAAAGATTAGTTAGGTCTGTGAGTTCACAATGGAGTTTCCAGAATCCGATTATTCATAAAACCCTGCAGGCAAACAAAGCAGTATATTTGACCATTAATTGAATCAAAATGTCATCTTTGTGTCCAGAGACTTACATGATTATGCTGACAATACTTAATTATTCCTATACCTTCCTGTTGTCCTTGTTTAAAATTTGACCCATTCAAAATGTGTTTAATGGATAAAGTTTTATTTTAGTGCCAGAAAAATAACATGTTTGCTCATAGGCTATAGGCCTACTACGTTTTTTCACGAGAAAGGTATAATGATCACTTTCATTAAGTTTTGGATTTGATTAAAATGTACTGTATAGCTATATCTGTTATCTTCTGGAGTCAAGTTTGTAAATACTTCAACATTCTTTCCTTTTTTAACTCAGAAATGAGCTTTGATTGTTTTGTAAATGAGGTCTTTGACCATACATTTAAAAAAGGAGAGTACATCTTGTGGTTATACGTAGGAATAAAGTTCCCCTAAAAGGTGAAACATAGATTTTGGTGATTATTTATACTATAGCCTATATGCTTTATAAAGAGTCAAACCAGGAAGGTACAAGTTGATAGGAAGACAACACAAGGGTTAAAATACAGGTTGCACAGGTTTGTTTTGAGCTCTAAGAATTATTTTAAAGTCCCATAAGGTACAAAGCAGTCTAGCAGATTTTCCATGACATTTGTAGTGTTATGTTAGCTTAGTCTTGACTTTTTAATATTTTAAGCAAGTATTTTATAAACTTGACTTTTTTCATATTTCTGATAATATTTGTCATCTTGCAGAAACACGTCCAAACCTTGACTCACTATTCTTATGAATTGGATTTGCGTCATATTCCTCTTCCTCTTCCTTTTTCCAAGGTACAACATGATATTCTCCTGAACTATGGGCATATTTTAACATGAAATGGGTTGCATCATTCAGGGTGATCTACAAGGAAATTGACAGCAAGCCAGGGGATTAGGCAACATTGGGGAAGTTACTCAACAAAAGCAATGTTTAGATGAGTGCTGCTAACATCACCATGAGGTCAAGAGGTGAAGAACAAATATTCCTTTCTGCTATTACGTTCACATGAAACCCCTTACCTTGGTAAACACGTTTCCTTGTTAATGTGAAACATAATCCCTTGCTTTTTACAGGAGGTGTATGGAGGATTAAAAGGTGAAGTGGTGAAACTCAAATTAAAGGTTACCTTGATAGAGAGGTGTGTTGTGGAAGTGAGAACTCAATCTACTTAATCATACTGAGAATCCATTGAAAGCCCACTTCTAAATATCAAGTAGACGTTTCTCATATCAGCCTGTAAATCTGCAATTCTCAAAATTCATCTCACAATCCATCTATTATTTTCTGTATGTTGTATATAAAACCCCTTCATCGGAGATACCCAAATAAAATCGTATGCGCTTGACTTAATCAGGGTTTTAAATTACTATGAAAGGAGTTGTGCAATCTCGCAAAAGATGCCAACTCAGTAGCTTTCCATAGCCGCAAAAGCTCAGAATCTACTGCAGAAATCCAAATTTCCGGGTGAAACAATTCATGACAGAGAATTCAAAGTGTCTAAAGTCCTGAAGGAAACATTTTGGAATATTCAAAATAAGGCTTTCTTTTACAAAATTTACAATGCATTCGTAATAATGAGTGGAACAATAGCTGAATGTGAGTAAGCGCCTTGGAATCAGCATGAGAAATGATAATCCTAAAAGAGCAACAATGAGCAACAAAAGGCATTATGGGATTTAAGGACAGGATTGGAATATACAGTAGATAATGTGTTTTAAGCAATGTGTGACTGGAAGCTGGGAAAAAATAAATAATGAGATTAACTGTTTTACATAAAATAAACGGAAAATAATGCTTATTTAATCAAAACGTTGCATTAAGTTGTAAGAATTGAGCTGGGAGCCTAACGTTAGCCCTTCAGCTAATAATAATAACAATACATTTTATTTAGAGCCGCCTTTCAAAGCACCCAATGACCCCTTACAATTCAGAAAATATACTTAAAAAAGCTTCAAAAGGACAGTAACAGGGAACATGTAGGGAAACAGGGGACATGTAGCACTACAGTGAGTAGGCTGATCTGAACAGGGACGTGAATGTGGTGATTGTGTCAGACTGTCGGATGTGTGGGGGGAGAGAGTTCCGTAGTTTGGGAGCAGTGCAGCTAAAACCCTGAGCACCCATGGTGACTGGGCGTGGGGTGGGGATGGTTAGCAGGCCAGCAGAGGAAGAGCGGAGGGAGCGAGAGGGGGTGTACTCCTGAAGGAGGTCGGCCAGATAGGTGGGGGCCAGGTCGGGAAGGGCTTTGAATGTGAGCAGGACATTTTTGTAGTCAATCCGTATACTTTACAGAGAGCAAGTGCAGTTGGATGAGGAGAGTTCTGAATGATTTGGTGTTGATTGAGGAGTTTGCTGGGAAGGCCTGAGAGGATGGTATTGTCAATGCGGGATGTTACAAATGCATGAACCAGGACTTCAGTGATGGATTGAGATAGGGATGGGTGGAGTCTGGAGATGTTTCGTATATGAAAGAATGCAGTCCGGGTGATGTTTTTTATGTCGGGCGCAAATGAGAGGAAGCTGTCCAGAATAACACCAAGGTTCTTGACTTGGGTGGAATAGGGAACAGGGAAACCGTCTATGATTGGGTCTGGAGCAGAGGGGGGTCGAGCTTTGGAGGGGATGGATTTGGAGCCAACTAGCAGGCGTTTTGCTCCCAATGACCTTAAGGAAGTTACGGCTCATCCAGCTCCTGGTGTCCTGGGGGCAGGTGGTGAGAGAGGTGGGGGGCAGGGCAGTGTTGGGTTTGGTGGATATGTAGACCTGTGTGTCGTCAGTATAACAGTGACATTTGGCATCACGGTGACGGAGGATAGTGCCAAGGGGAAGGAGGTCAATTATGATGAGGAGTGGACCCCAAACTGACCCCTGGGGGACACCATGTGAAACAGTGGAGCAGCTAGACTTGTGGTTATTGAGTTGAATAAACAGTTTTCTGTCTGTAAGGTAGTTGAAAACCAGGAGAGTGCAGCACCAGTGATCCAAAAATCTGCCAGACGCTTATGTCAGCCCTCCAGCTAGCTTATGTTAGCCCTCCAGCTAGATCACTTTAGCCCTACAGCTGTCACATGGTGGATTAAGGCTACATATATTAACTTATAACAGCTGTGTTCTCATTACTTTACAATTTCGAAGAAACAGATTCAACTATGAACCCATTCATTATCTTCCCGTCCACCGAATGCTCTCTTTTTCTTCTGTGCCAGTCCCCACATCCAGACCCTCTTTGCCCTTTTACAACTCCTTTCCCTCCAGTGCAGTCACCTATCCTTCCCCCACTGTTCACCTGTTCCCACTTTTTCATGAGCCCTTTAGATATTTAGCTGGCTCCTTTTCATGAACTCCTCCTCCAGTCTTTGATATCTAGCAGGATTAAATGTATAACGCTTCCGCATCCAACAAGGATTACAATACACTAGCTACATTTCATTTAAAATTCTGCTTCATAAGTGCAGATTTGTACCAAAAGGAGATCACACATTATGACATAAGTATGAAGTCCAGAAAGGCCCCTCAGACTAGGCTGTCAGTAAAAACATTTGGTTTTCAACTATATTTCTAGAGCAGCCTAAAATTAGCTGTTTTGATATGTTTAAGTGTAAACTACGAAAATATCTGTTCAGTCTGGCTTTTATGTTTTATTTTATATGTATTACTATTTTTACACAGTCGAATATCGTTATGATTTTGCCCTCCTTTTCAGTTTTATCCAGATGTGAGTGTTGATCATGATCTAGGTCCTGTTTTATTCATATTTTTTCTTTAAACATCCTAAGTACATTCAGAGGCCTGTAAATCACTTTTTAATGCATTTGATTTGTTTGAAAGGTGTTTAATTATTGGCTGCAGCATATCCTTAAATGGTACAATTCTGTCTGGATTGAATACATTTGGTTCCTATTTCCTTTGCTTTGCACTTGCACAATTTTTGTGCATTTCCTAACATTTGGACTACCTATGCTGTAAAATGAATTATCTCTTCGATTTACACACGGCATCTATTGCACGTCTGTCCATCCTGGGAGAGTGATCCCTCCTCTGTTGCTCTCCCTGAGGTTTCTCCCATTTTCCCCTTTAAACTGTGGGTTTTCTCCGGAAGTTTTTCTTTGTACGATGTGAGGGTCTAAGGACAGAGGGTGTCGTTTTTTCTCAAACTGATATTTTGAACAATCTGTGCTGTTGCATTAGCTGTACAGTGTCTCTACTGTAGGCTATTTTTATTATATGTACAGCACTTTGGCTCGACCAAAAATCGTTTCTAAATATGCTTTATAAATAAAACTTGATTTGATTTAAATTGTATGGCTAATGTACACAAATCTAAACCATGTGCATGATACAATCCTCAAAATATTTGCACAAAGCACCAACATATTAAGCTGTTATATTGATATTTATTTTAATATGTTTTTGTAGACTGATGCTTACTTTTAGACATTTATTTGTACTACTTCTTACAGAAAGTGCAGCAAAACCATCAGAAACAGTTCACAGGGACCAGATTGTTGGCTTGTTGGTTTGTCAAATATTTGGTTACTGGTTCCATGAACATTTTATGATGCAATGTGAATCTCAGAAAACCTAAAGTGAAACCAATAACTATTTACAGCTGTGGAAGTATCCAAAGGAGAGAAAAAAGATAAACATAGATAATTTCAGTGTGAAGAGTGTCAGCGACAAAGAATGATAGACCTGATCATGATTTAGAAAAAAAATAGGCTTTATTTTGAAAAGCGTCAACAATCAAAGAGATCAATCGAACAAACAAACAAACAAACAAATAAACATGTGCTGCCTTATTAGTTCTTCAGAGTTAGCTCAGTGAGACACACACTTTTACAAACTTTCACATTTTAAACTTGTATAACTTCAATAATTCTTCTAAAACAGTAGTACTATAAAAACATATTTGAAAAAAGTCAAAAATATTTAGTTTTTTTGCCACATAGACCTGAATATATAAAATTCAATTTTTAAATAGAGGAAACACTCAGTTATTTGTGTGATCCACCCCTTTCCCTCCTCTTGATGATTGCTGAAGGGGTTGTTCTCAGTTTACACCCTCTTCACTCCAGTGCAGACGGTTCTCTGTGTACACAAATATTTAGATTAAAGTCAATAATGTGTTGAACACTTAACTGAAGTGATGAAAGGTACAAGACACACAGATTACGTTGGCGTCGGTACAACATGACTCAGCGGCTGCGGTTTGTAGCTCACTTCAACTTAATGAGGCTTGCAACAAGGTGTTTTTACAATAACCATTACAGATTATAAACTTGAAAAGATTATTTTAATTTCATTTTCAATTTCATGTCTTTGAAACTTAAGTCAAATGTTGTGTTAAAAATGTTGGCTGGTGTTCTGTAAAATGCTTTAAATTACCACATTTGAAACTCAAACTTTCTTACCATGAAAATGTAGTATTTTTAATAGTTAGAGTTATAAAATATTGGATGAATTGCGTAGAATCACAGTTTGTTATTGTATGATCAAGTGTAGACATGCAGGTTTGTCAGCTTTTTAAACAGACAAACAAAAGCAATGGAACAAGTAGCAGGTCAGATTTGCTGATAAGTAATTAAAATAGTAATGTCATTTTCAATGAGGAATGTGTAACGAACACTTTTCTAGTAACTTGCATTGGCACACATACATTTTTTTCTTGCATTGAGGTTACAAAAATACAATGTTTACACCATGTCCTTTCAAAATGTAGAGCTGAAACATATCTAGAGTCAAGGTACCTTATATTGTTGTTTCTTGCAGAATTTCCTCAGGACTTTCACATGCTTCACCACCCGTTGGACCCACGGTTCGTCAACAGGCACACACAGCTTCCTGCCTGCTCTGGTCACCAAACTGCAAAGAACACCAAATCATCCAGGTCAAGGTGAGATATGATCATGTTTCTGTACCTTGTGAGTCCCACACACACCACCTCAACTCACATCATGGCATTAATAGAGCAGCCATGTCCGCTGATCTGTTGACGGTAGTCTACCACTATTCTGTTATCAATTGCTTTGGGGTTGACACTCAAGCAGCAGTCCATGGGTATCTGCGCGAATGTCACTGAAACACAAATAGGATCAGGTCAGTTTAGTATAAAATGAGATTCCACTACTAATATATACATGAAATGTCCTCAAAGAGAGCATATTTCAACAGCTTAAAGGGGCGCTTTGCTTTCTGGGGTTTTCCCTTTCCTATAGTGTGTTATATAGCTTTTGGTGCATGTAAATGCACAAAGGCTAAAATCCCTGTGTTCCCTCCAGAGGGAGTTTCTCCCTCTCCCCCTTCATGAAGCGCCTCCATTGGACTTCTTTGTTTACATGGGTAACATAGGGAAATCTCAGTAGAACACTTGTGCTTCTATTGGCTAGTGCTTCAACACATTGAATACAAAAATGACGATGTTTAAGCAACTGCACATTTAACATTTAAAAAAGGTTCTCTAGCAGAATACACAATAAAACCTCAAGTTAAGAACATTTTAAAGCATAATAAAATAAAACAAAATGATTGTCCTGGGAGCTGGAGTTTACCTTTCATGGAAGAAATGAATGGTTACGATTTTGCTTTAATCATTACTCCGGCAATATGATATCTTCTCTGAGTAACAAGTGCAGGTACCTTGAACACACGATGCTGTGTCATTACTGACACAACTAAAGTTATTCTTTATTGGTCCTTGTCACCTGACTTGGGTTTCCGGTAGTTCACTTGAACTTTCATTTACTACAAAGAAGGAGCTGAGGAGAGGGGAAAAACAGCAGCACTCCCTCCCTACACCCTCACTGTGTTTGTTTTTGCTCTGGTAGCTTAAATTAAATGCATTGTTTCATTGTCCTGTCACCAAGTGTTGGAACATTTTCACTATTTAAGCGGTTAACTGACCTAACCTGAAATTATTCAAGGTATTAAACTTGATATAACCTTGAAATTATGTATGCTCTCTTATATATTAGCACATTTCTTATCATTTTAACCATGCAAAACGTACTGTAAAACCTTTCTTAGACCATTTTTTTATTCTTTATTTTTATTTTTTATCTGTAGATATAAGCAGAAGAACTTGCCATATTATTTTTTCCCTTCCCCTTTCTCTAAACCACTACCTCTTCTTCAAGTGGAATTGTTCAGATACATCCTGTTCTCTTCTGGCATTGACATGTCCCTATAGGGTCTCTGAGAGGATGCCTTACCTGTGCAGCAGCAGCAGGTGATGAAGAGGATGCAGAAGAAAAGCTTGGTGTCGCCCCCCGGAGCCATGTCTGGTAGCTTAGCTGATGGGGTTGTCTCTTTGTCTCTCTGGAAGCTGATTGGCTGAGCCTGCTGTTCTTTTCAGCACCTGCAGTGGCAAAGTTTGTGAGGCTTCTGTCCTTGATGGCTGCTCTTATATCAGTGTCCACTCAGTTTCACTTTTCATTTCCCTGCCCCTCCTCCTCCTGCTCGGGCTCTTCTGGCCGCTAAGGTCACCTATTATTCCAATTCCCAGCACTATTCAGATTTTCTCAGAAGATTACTTACAGTTTCAGTTCTTTATTGATACAGCATGATGTGACGTTAATTCTTCAAATTATGATCCGTTTTAGAGTAAAAATAAACTGCCAAAAATAATGACAGTAACGGCCAAAACACCAATCTCTTTAAAGAGGTCCACAAACCAATGAGTTACTGTATGTCACTGTTACTTTGTCCACTTGTTATACAAGGAGTTCCAATACCTTTACTGAAGAGCAGAGTATTTCATATGCATCCTGCCAAAAGTACCAGCGTTTCCTACTAGATCCAATTACATTTTGCAATAACAAAGCCAGCATGACTCTTTTTCAGACCACACACAGCAAATATATGAGCTAAAGGGTAAAACGTTCAAGATGCAATGTTATTACAACACAACATACTTTTTAAGGGCAACTGAAGTACAGTACATACCTAAAGTATGACAAAATGTGATCTGGAATGCCCCCACAATCTATAATTTTACTGCATACTAAACTAAAGTAATACTACTTTGACTCCGAAATCTGGGTTTCCTTTCAAATGTAAGCTGCAATCATAATTTAACTCACCATAGTTAGAATTGATCTTCTTAAACAACATCTTGTCCAACAACATACTGTATTTTCCTGCTATATTTTTTCTTCTTTTAGAATTTAATAGCAAATTATAATTTCTCCTGCACTGTTCTTATTTTAACAAGAGGCTGTCACTTTAATGTTTTTATCATAAGAGATAAAAGAAAGATACTGTGCCCTTAGCAGTAAACTTGACTGTAAAACAAGGTTTTTTCACATCAGTGGCGGACTCAGTCTGTCTGAGGAGACAAGGGTGAAGAAAATAAAAAAGGGCACCAGCTGTATGCAGTGGGCCACCAGTGCGACTAATGTTTGTTATGTAGAGTAACCTTTATGACACTGCGTTGTTTATTGTCCTTTTAAAATACACGTTTCATCTACCTTGAGGATACATCTTGAGGATACATCCAGTGCTTGAGATCGCACATGATGATATAACGGTAGGAGAATTAATGTTATTATGGTAAATCCATACCCTCTTTTGTGTTAAACAGAACAAGCACTTGCATTATTACGCAATTTTACATCCTTTTTTTCTGATATATGGTGAAAATATGTATTATATAATATGTATATATGTGAAATATGAGTAACACTTCTCGGAAAAACATTAATTGCAGTGAAACTGATTCTTTGGAAGTTGAGCCTTTATCCCTTCTTCTTGACATCAAATAACTATTTTTTAATTGCTTTGCTATCAGATTACATTATACGGCTGTTGTATTGCATCATCAGTCACACATTAACCGTCGGTTCCTTCACACACTGTAAGGGCCAATGAGGCACTTACAGAGAAGGTTTCCTTTTCTTGTAAATGCCAAGTGGGATGTGTGCCTTATCTGTCAGCTGTATTTACTCTCTTGGAATTTCCCAGCTGAAGTACTTACAGGAAGATATACAAAGTTGTTTGACCTGAGCTGTTGTCTGCAGAGTGAAAGTTTGGCAGGAATCCAGAAAGCAGTTATTGTGTTAAGAGTGAGCATGTCACCTAGGCTGATGGGAAAGGACATGTCTTACCTTCCCTGTGTCTTTGAATACTTTATTAAAATAATTATTTTATGATTCCAACGAGCCAAATGTAAAGTCGTGTGGACATCAAGGCTGAAGCAGATCAATCGTAATAGTTTTCTTTAACGTATGATCATTTAATATTGATCAAATAATTAAAACCTACAGAAAATGTTTTTTGGTCACTTGAGGCACTGCACTCAGTTAACAGGTGGTGACTAACAGTTGAGAAAAGTGAAGTCAAAGCAGAAGGGCCTTAAATCTGCGTTCAGGTTTTAAGCAACAGGGAGACTTAAGTCTGATTGAAAATAACGCCAGACTTCTCACTGGATTGTGTATTGGTAAACATAAGTCCATGGTCTAAATCGCTAGTTTCAAGTGTTCTTCATTACAGTATGTGATCCATTTTTATAAATTAGGATCCCATTTAGGTTAAAATGGAGAACAACGTCCGTGTGGGGCTACCTTGTGATTGACAGGTTGCTACCAAAGCATTATCCACGTTTTGTTCTTCAACTTTTCCAGATTCCCAGTAGTTTTCACTTAGTACAAGTGCTTTGTAGCATTTTTGTTGCCTGAAAGTGTATTTGCCAGTGTTGGTTGAGACTGTCCTCTTGTGTCATTGCTGGATGGCAAATGTTACATTGACTAGATCCATTTGTTATATAAAGTCTATATGAGTAAGCCTAATATAGCCATATCATAACCTCACTCAAGTTAACAAACAGTAGTTTAATGCCAAATCAGCAGTTATTAATTTGGAGTTTTGTTTCAGATCAATTGGTGAGGTCCAGTATTTTATCTACGGCTACCCTCCAAAAAAAACTCCTTGGAAAATGTTAATGTTCTTTAGCAGCTACATGTACTTAGTTCACAAGCTAGTTGTCAACTTGTTATGACTGTTCCAAGGAAGGAAGATAACTTGAGTCCTTTTTTGGTCTTGCTGCAGCCTAAAACCACACAGATGAGAACAAAGCGTGTCAAAACAACAAACCCAGCGCCCGTGAAACTGGAAACATAGCTCGAAGCTTAATGATACTAAATCGCTCGGTAGAACTTGAGTTAGCTACAGGGTCTGGTAAAGATTCTCTGTGGTGATTCTAGCCTTTTGGAACAGCTGTACTTGTTTAAAACATTTTAGCAATGCTTTCTTGCAACTCCATTTGCATGTGATATTGTTGCTATTGCATAAATGTTGATTTGAGAATGAATCAGTCATAATAATCCAATAATATTAAACATTATAACACTCATGTATGTTTTGCTTATAACGGACATCTGCAGCAAATCTGTTCCGGGTAACTAAATGCTCATGGAGTTTATGTCTTATTTTTGGCCTATCTGTGATCCAACAAAGCCCCATGTGCAATGTGGGGAACTCCACAGGATGCTCTTGTACAGTACATTAGGAGTCTTGTTCTTTGGCCTTGAGGACAATTTGTGGCTGTGAGCCCAGAGACGCTGACTCGTAGAAAGAAGCTCATAAGGTCAAATGAAGTTGGAAGGACCACCGCTCTGAAACGCTGAGGTCCCAGCTTTCAGTTTCAGCAGAGATCAAATGTTCTTGGGAAAATCATTTATGCCTGCACAACTGACTGCTTACCAAAATTAGAAGGGCCCTATTCTGCTTTTTAGTATTTCTATTCACTCTCGTGTGTTTTATAGGTTTTTGTGCATGTAAAATTGTAAATGGTCTGCATAGATTAAAATCCCAAAGTTCTTTCCAGAGGGCGATTCTCCCCCACATACCCTCCCACCCCACCTGCCTGAAACGCCTCAATTGCTCCTTTTCCTCCGTGACATAGTGGCATCACTATGTATCACTCACGCTTCTATTAGCTAGTGCCCCAACACATTGTAGGTGATCGGCAATCACAACAGAGCCGGCCAGCTAACCAATCAGAGCAGACTGGGCTCTGGTTTCAGACAGAGGAAAATGCAGTATGAGAAAAATAAAGACCTTTTTCAACATTAAAGTATGTAAACATGTCACAGTAGAGGCACAAAATACAAATATGAACCTGAAAATGAGCATACTAGGGGCCCTTTGAATTGCAATGCAAATTCTAGTCAGGAGAATTACTAAAAACTATGGCTTGTCTTCAGTCTAAGATCAAATTCATATTCCAATGCCCATTTCAACTTAGACTTGTTTTTGAATCTGCTTGCTTTTGTATTTTGTTCATTTTATTTTGTGTATTTCTTATTTTTTTATTTGCTATGGCTTTTTCTAAATTGATGTAAAATGAACTCTCCTGGCCACCGTAGGAAACATATGACATCCATTCATTTATACAGGTATAGCTCAACACCTTTTCTCTCTGTTGATAAGATCTCGTCCAGTTTTTGGTATATTTGAATGTCATTGAAGCTTACCAGTACCGAGACATTGAAGTATAAATACACGCCTTAGTTGAACCCAGGCCATCTGGGTAAAGAAATTGATCTCATCCCTCCTTAACGACCAGCATCATGACAAATATTTGAAGTTCTTAACACATTGCTTATGGAAATGTTCATTTATTTTAATAATTGTTATATTAACTCTAGTGGATGCAGTTAGATGATGTGTGCTAGAGAAAAGAAATCCACTAAAAGTTACAATATATCAAACTTTATTGAGAAACTTTTTTGAAACATAAATCTACTTTTTATACATGGTCATACTAAAATACACTTTAAATCCAACTTATTATAAAATATAAACACATCTTGACAAACATAATTTAGGGACATTATCCTCAGGCACCTTACAGTCTTATGGTTGAAAGAAAACGAACAATTGTACATTTCACTCAATAGATAATAAAAAAATAAAAATTCCTTCACAAATGTATTTTGACCGCATTCACCACAAATGAGAGGACAAATATCAAGAACTGTACATTTAGCTACTGATGATTCACTGGCATGATGAGGGGGTGATTCCTCAAAGATCTTAAAGATAAGATCTTCTCAAACGGTTCGATCTACTAAAGTACGAGACTGAAGCCAAATGGAAATGATTCTGCCGTCTTCTGCCCTCAGTTAAGAGTCGGCCCTTTTCGTTTGTCAGCAGCCTTTTCCCCCAGTCCACTCCTCTCTACACCTGCAGAAAGAAAGAATTTAAAATCAAACTCTTTGTAAAAAAAGGTGCAATATGCCTTCACAGAGGTGCAATCATTATGTTTAAAGTTCAGCGAGAGAATATAGAATGTACCTGATTAGTGATTTCTTTGATGTTTTTGATTCAGCTGTCTAATGTAACTCTTCACCCAGGCTTTATCGTTGGGATGGGAGACGCAGAGGGTTTTT